TCCGGCAACAAGTATGACGCAATGACAATAATGATACAAATATTTTGCTGACTTGCATCAGACAAAGGGAAGCATTCATTCATTCATTGTATAAAGCAATGCTTTGTCAACTCAAAATGGTTACATCTTTTCTGTATGTTGTCTTGGTTCTTGGTATTTCGTTTTGGGTAACAGCTGACGGTCACGAAGGGCGCACATTTACCTGTCAAAACCACACTTACAATATTACAACGACTTCCTCAAGTGAAACAGACAAGGAATGTATTTTGATCGTCAACGAAACAGATTTGTGGTTTCTACAGGAACTAGGTCGAAATAAACTTATTCATGTTGTACAACTTAGGCCCTGTCTACACTAGTGCGTTTTCGTTTGAAAACGCACACATTTCGATGCGTTTAGGCCTTCCGTTCACACTAATGCGCTCGAATACGCTCAGCGTATTCACCGAAAACGCATCGATTTGAATCACGCTGTTGAAAGTGAATACAAATGAAAACGCATACATATCGTATTAGTGTGAACACTTGAATACGATACTTTTGAAAACGATTACGTCACACGCATCGATTGCCACTCATTTCCAGGTCTTAAGTCAGTTATCCGCGGCATAATTCCAACCAAACATGGCGGACGAGCACGATATGGAGTTTCTTATGCTTCTAGCAAACATAATTGTTTGTTTACAGTTAAATGTCGCGTTGTATAACGCCATGATGGCTTCACACCGAAGACAAATAGCTGTCTTACGAACACACATTTTATCTGGGCCTCCTCCAGGTCCAATTCGAGCAAAAAATCGGTCTTGCAGACCAACTAGAAGATTTTGGATTCGACCTGGTCGAACAAGCGCGTGGTGGGAAAATTTTGTGAACGAAGTTATGTTGCCGGAAGAATGGAGGGAGAATTTCAGGATGTCTCGCAGATCCCTATTGAAACTAAGCGAAGAACTACGGCCATATATTGAGGGAATGACGACTCGAATGAGGCAACCTGTTGACGTCGTGGCGTGCACTTTGTACTACCTTAGCGACGAAGGTCGGCTTAGAAAAACTGCGAACGCTTTTGGTCTTTCGAAACAAACAGTGTCAAAAATTATAAAGGAAGTGTGTACTGCAATCACCAAGTATTTAGGCCCGGTTTACATAAAACTTCCCTTAACAGAAGCTGAAGTAATGGAATTGACCTCACAATTTGAAAAAGCCCATGTTATTCCACAGTGCCTTGGAGCAATTGATGGGACCCACATTGAAATCAAACAACCAACAGCAAATTCTACAGAGTACATTAACCGAAAGCAGCGGTACAGTCTGAATGTTCAAGCTGCTTGTGACTATCGCTATAGATTTATTGATGTCAATGTGAAATGGCCTGGTAGTGTACATGATGCTAGAGTATTTGCAAATTCTTCAATTAATTAGTATGTGAAGATTGGAAAGGTTCCCGCAGTGCCCAAAGTGATTGTAGAAGGAGAACAACCTGTTCCTGTTTTCCTTCTTGGTGATCACGCCTACCCTTTAATGCCATATCTGATGAAGGAGTATTCTGGTGGTGGTTCTACAGCCGAAGAGCAGTATTTTGGTCTATCTCTCTGCAGAGCGCGGATGGTGATCGAGTGTTCCTTTGGTCGGTTAAAGGGGCGTTTTGGCGCTTTACGAAGACCCATGGACTTAAATTTAGCAGAGGTTCCTTATGTCATCTATGCTTGTTTTGTATTGCATAGTTATTGTGAGTGCAATGAAGAAACTGTGTCAGATGACAAGGTTGCATCTGCAGTTGCTCATGATAAAGATGCCCAGCCTACCCCGACACCAAGTTACAGACACGAGTCCAATGAAACCGAAGGAAAACGTGTGAGAAGAGTTCTGACCAAGTACCTGGATCCATAACTCCAATAAGAAGAAAACTCTTCGGTACCAACCCCAAATATAAATAATGAACACTTCCTTACTACAGGTTAACTAATCAGTGTAATAAGTATCAATATATGTAAGCATTTATATACAAGCTATAAATAAAATTAAGCTGATTAAGTGTTTTTATCCAATATAAATTATAATATCTATCTAAGTGTTCAGTTAGGCTGTTGGTGTTCATTATCCAGAAGAAGAATACTCTTCGGTACCAACCCCAAATATAAATAATGAACACTTCCTTACTACAGGTTAACTAATCAGTGTAATAAGTATCAACATATGTAAGCATTTATATACAAGTTATAAATAAAATTAAGCTGATTAAGTGTTTTTATCCAATATAAATTATTATATCTATCTAAGTGTTCAGTTAGGCTGTTCGTGTTCATTATCCAAGAAGGTAAACTGGGTGCTGTTGTAGTTGTACCCATTTTGATTGGTGTGGTTAATGGGAGGATAACAGCCATATTGCTGCATAGTAGATGGTGGATACCTTGCTGGGTCAACTGGTTGATAAGGCTGATGTGGTAGACCAGGTGGGGTACAGAGTTGTTGTTGTTGGATATTACGCATTCTGTTATTCTGGTATGCAGTGAAGAAGTCTGTAATGCAATTCGTTAATTTTTCTATGTTAGCTGACACTCTTTCCATGTTTTCTGAGCATTTCTTGTCCATGTTGTCCAACTTATCAAGAAGCTGCTTTTTGACTTTTGAGTCTTCTTGTGCACAGATAAGCAACTGATTATCAATAGACAGTTTTCTTTTCAACTTGTCTTGCTCGTGATTTTTTAGTTTATCATAAAGTAGGGCTCTTCGGTTGTCATTAGTGGTCGGCGTATCAGTGGTGTTTGGTGGTGTGTCACAAGTGTTGGGCTTTGTCTGTGATGGAGTGCTTGGAATTGGGCTCTCAGGTTCAGAGTAGTTTATATTGAGTAGGGGATCTTCTGTGTCTGATTCTGGATCATTCCGTGAGGGAGTCGTCGATGCTGAAGATGTAGTATTTGATGACATATCTGAGGACTCGATTCCTGTATCAATCGATGTTGTTGCTGGTGAACCACCCCATATGGATTCGCACAAGTCGAAATACAGCCAGACGACACGACCATGACCGCTTCTCTTGCCGCTATCGACTGATTTTCTGTATTTACTCCTTATATTTTTTAGTTTTGTGGCTACTATCTGCTTCGGAATTTCACGCACGTTATGTGAAAAGTCCTTTCCACAAGAGGTGCTTTCAACTGCAGGATACTGCTGTTTGAAACGTTCAAGAATGTCACCGTACTTGCTTTGGATTGATTCCCAGTCGATACTTTCAAATGACTTTGATACTTTGTACTCGTTTGTAACTCTTAACAACAGCTCCACTTCGTCGTCTGTCCATATGAATGCCTCCTGCTTGTTGTTATTACCATTCTTTTTAGATTTATTTTGCTGCGAAGAACTAGCCATAAGAAATCGACGATTTCTTATAACACACGTGTCTAGGTTTCCTTTTGAAAATAGCTCAAAATTTCATAACATTACGCTCGCAAAGAGCATCGGGAAAATCAGGCCTGGTTGCTAAACAAATGCTGAGCATGCGCAAATTACCGTTTTACGTCAGACTACGATCCGATCATCGTATTCAAGCGTTTCAGTGTGAACAGTCGAATACGCTACGAAAACGGTAGTGTGAACGCGAATCGATCGATGCGTTTTCGGTCTTGCGAAACCGCATACAAACGAAAACGCACTAGTGTAGACGGGGCCTTAATCTTCAATTCACCTCTAAAGAGAACAATTCCACCATTAAGAAGTGGAGTTGGCTATGGACAGAATATATCGGTCATAATGTCTTGGAATTGCTCGCAATAAAAGTCATTGAGGATAGTACTGCCCAAACTGGGTTGACTTGGGCTCTCGACGTTGCAAGAAAAACAAGTGGATTGCCTGTAAGTGATAGTCCTGCCGGATGTACGGTATCCAAAAAGTCACCAGAAGATTTTATTGCTGGAGCTCTTTTGAGGCAACTCTCTTTGAATAAGGAGAAAGAAATTTGTTTCAACAAAAATTCGAGTCAAACCACGCAAAAGAGATGCTGTAAGGGTTTTAACAATAATCCTCATTGTTATGTGAGGTCAGATGAATCTGAATTCGTGCGCATAATTAACTCGATGTTATCGGTGTTTCGATACGGCAAAGTTTTATCTCTGGCTGTGTTATTCTATCCTGCCATGATATTACTAAGTCTAAACCAAAATAAGGTCAATGATTATTACAGGTTAACGGAAAGTCCGATGTCATTACTATCTATTCTGCGTCTGTTATTTTGGGATGGTTTTGGAAGAGTGAGATCTTTTGTACGCAGGAGTTTGTTGTTTGGAGTGATCTTCCTGTTGTGTTGGACACTGAAATTGTTCGATGACTCTGGTGTTTTTCTACTTGTGCTTTTTGCTCTTTCGGCGCTGTCCATTCCTGTGTCCATCATATGTTACGACGCTGAGAATTTTTTGGGGGAAATTGACTTCTCAGAAGTATTTCCTTTTGTACGTGCAGCATTTTATTATTTTAGTTATGACATAGATATCTATTTGTCGCGCAAAGCTAAATCGAAAGTCATTGGTTTAGCCACGTTGCCTTTTAACATAAAACGGTGGAAAAAATCTTTGATTAGATTTTCTGAATCTGTCAAGTCCTCTAATACATCACGATATTTTGTACGGTGTAAAGTTCTGCTGTACATTAAAGTTTTTTTTCTTTGTTTAGTTTAAATTCCAGTTGTCTTTATATTGCAAGTTAATTTAATGAATACATGCATGATTAGTTTAGTTGCTTCAACTTGTTATAGCGCCTTCTTCACGAGGCGATATATAGCCTTGTACATGTATTCATGTAATTCGTTTTTTCTCATCTTTCCATTATTCGTTTGTATTCCCTACACGCCTCCCATTTTAATTGGGTTGCTCTCAGGCATAATTCTCAATATTGTCTACTTTTTCCCTTGCATTGTTTACATATCAATTCTGACATTTTACTCCTGGATGTTTTGGTCATTTGTTGAACAACAATATGTCGTCTTGATTAGGCTGATTTATGATTGCAACATGGATAACAATGACAACAACAATGACAACAACAATAACAATGACAACAACAGGGACAACAACAATGACCTTAATAATGAACTAGACAATGTCCTCAACAACGTGAGTAGTTCATATTTGAACATTGTTAATAATGACTTCGGCAGTAGAGGAAGTGAGATGTTTGATAAAAATAGTAAAATTGTGTGCGTTGTATCAAAGGAATTCTATGATAATATTAGAGAACGCCTCTTACCAAACCATGTGAGTCTTTTTTTACTTCACGTTAAAAGTTTTCTTCACTTTTCTTTTCTCTTATTTTATTCTCACTCTTGTTCGAGCTCTTCAAGCGATGTTTCCCCAACAGTCCAGTTACTCATAACGTTCAGCGTGAGTGCTTTTCCTTACATTATGAATATTGTTGCGGCGAAAAAAGGAGAAGATCAGAAAGATACGTGGAAACAACAGTTGAAACGACATGTGAAACGATTAGTTAACAAACTGACGGCTTCAAAACCTGAATTACGTCAGACTGAATTGGGTATAACCTCCTCTCATGACAAACCCGAATTAATTGAACATTTGATTCAACGAGTGGAACTAACAACGGACAATTCTACGACTGGCGAAACAGAATCCAACCAAATTCGTGAAGTAAATAATGAAAATGACGATTTAATTATTAGAGTGAGTAGCGTTTAATATAAACTCTTCTGAAACAATAAATCATCCAACATATCTTATACTTTTACCAGGTGATCTCGCGCCGAGAGAATGGTTTAATTAGCGAAGACCCTGGCCCCATCCACGCAAATCCATATATTTTTATGAATAAAAATTTTACGTTTCACAGCGTTGCTTAAATAAACAAGGTTTTGAATTTTGCCTAAGAATTTCCTCGATTTGAGCAGTCGAACAGTGTTATTGCTTAGCAAACTATGAGTTGATTATTTGATCAATATTTCCAGTTCTTTTCGTATATTCCGATCACTTAATCATGTTTAGATAATATTTTTGAAATGTTCATGTTTATGCAATATTTAAAATTGATCTTCAAAGCTTAACCTATATAATGAACATGTAGATGCTCAGGGATTATTGGCCTTATTAAAGCGATGGTATTACTATAATCAGGGGAATTTTATAATCATCATCTAAACATTATAGAAATTTTATAGAAACCTTATAACTATGATATCAGTAGTAATGTTGGAATATAATCGGAAAAGATAACTTCATCAGCTATTATAAGTTGCTGTTAATAAGACTTGTGTGTCAAATAAAATGAATAACAAGTACGATCGTACTATAGTGGACCAAGAACTGCGTGATCGAGTTTCGATCTTGTGAAAATCGTTAAACGCTCAAGAGCTCCAAGATTATGACTTGATAAACAAATCAATAAGCTTATAATTAATCATAATTAGTCGTCCACATTCGTGAGCAGCTTTACCGGGATTAAATGTGATTGTATTTACAACAATGGAGAGGACAATGTGTTTCTAATCATTTGCGTTTACTTATACAGGGTAAGTAAAAAAAACTGACACCTTTGAAATTCAAATTAGCTGTGAACTTATGGCTGGAATATGACAATTCCCATGTACAATCAACAAAAACGATTTGATAAAACTGTTCTTTTGTATGTACAAAGCTTAGAATGCATTTTAACTCCCAATGGGAACAAACTTTATGTTTTAGGTTAATTAATATGATATGCTTTGTATACCTATGAAATATTTTAAGCAACTTCTGTCACATTATAGCCGCTATCCGGCTAATTTGAATTTTAAAGGTGTCGGTTTTTTTTTACTCACCCTGTATATAGGCTGAATAATAATGATATGTATATATTATTTGCAGCAAATATAGTTAAGAATTGCTTGTAACTTGCTTCAATGGTCAAAAGTAAAAATTCGAACTCCGTCAATCGATGCGGAATATTGCTTAGAATAATTGTGCCAAGTTTCATTCCGATCAAACAAGTAATGCTAGAGCCTTAGGGTTTTTTTAAAGAGCGTCGCCCCCTAACAACAACAACAACAACAACAACAACAACAACAACAACAACAACAACAACAACAACAACAACAACAACAACAACAACAACAACAACAGCAACAACAACACAAAACAACAACAACAACAACAACAACAGCAACAACAACAACAACAGGAAGATTAGCAGCGGTTAGAGACCAGTTCCTGGTCCAAAAACAAACTAACTGCATCATTCCGGAAATTCGTCAGACTCCCGGTTTCAATATTGAGCTCAGAGTTGACCCTTCATTATTTTAAAATGTTGCTAGTTAATAGTTAATATATTTGTGAGGAATTTGCTATATGACGAAGATAATTATAATTTCAAATTGCCATGTTTTGCTACGCAAACATTGCTCCGTGTTTTGCCTATAATTTTATACTTTGTTTGTCTACCAGACTTTGTATAAAGAAAAGTAGAAAACTTGCACATTTTTAAACTTTTTATATAGTACACCTCATGCAATATCTCAAAGAATAGGCATTATACGTTACAAATATCTAAGTTTGGTCATTTTTTCTGTTATATGTGTGGTTTATTAAAAGACTCCCTTGCAGTTACAAAAACTGAATTACTGAGCAAGTATTACAATAAAAGTTAATAAGATCTTACTATTTACACAATGTTACTATATTCTATTGGGCAATTAATGATACGAATTACGAATATGTCATATTTAAAATTTAAATATTTATCAAATATTTGAACAAGGTACTAATCTAGTTAAAATTTAAAAGTATAAAAGGATTGTGTTCTCTTTGTTCTACAATTAGTAACGTTATTAAATAGGTATAATTGTTCCGAGATCTTCCTTAAATTGAAATTGTGATCACATGCAGCAGACTTTGGTAATAATGTAAATAGCGGATGATCCTCACATTTCATCGTGTTCATATATTCTACACACATGCAGTAGTTCTCTTCTTGTTTTCAAGGTTGGCAGTTGTGATCGTTTAAGAGCTTCCGAATACGACTCAGTCCCTGGATAAATTATTTTGAGTGCCCTTTTTTGCACTACTTCTATTGCTTCTGACAAATAATCCGGTATATCCTGCCACACAGGGGCAGCGTATTCCAGCACCGGACGTACTGTGCTTAGGTATACTTTTTGTATATTACTTTGGTTGACCCCCGCTCTTCGCAAAATTCTTAAAGAATACAACTTCTTACTAGCTTTCTTAACAATGTATTCTACGTGGCAATTCCACTTCAGGTCGTTGCTCATAATGACACCTAAGATTTTATTAGTCTTGGCTCGCTCGATAACAGTGTTTCCAATTTTAATCGGATGGAGTAAGAAGTTTGAGATGTGTAGAAATTTATGAGCATCTCTTTGCATTTTGTGGGATTTAGCTTCATGTTATGATTCATAGCAAATTATGTATATCGGATGCAGCATGGTCTAAAAGACTAATAGAGTTTCTTGGGATAATCTCCAAAGCAGACGTATTGTCAACAAATTTACTACGCAGGTTCCATTCGGAGAGCAGGTTATTGGTCATAACTATAAAAAGGAGTACTCCCAGTTTGGTCCCCTGAGGTACTCCACCTTTCAAAGTCTTTCAATCTGATACAACTCCTCCAATTCTAACAGCTTGTTTCCGATTCGTCAAGAAAGCTGCAATCCAGCTCGTGAGCACAGGATGAGTGTTTATTCAGTTCTTGAATTAAGATGGTGTGATCAATAAGATCAAACCCTTTGCTGAAATCTGCGAAGAAAATCCGCGCTGCTACCTCGCCGTTGTCCATCGCCTCATAAATTGCTTGTAACATATAGAGAAGTGCATCCGTTGTTGAGTGACCCTTACAGGCGTACTGGCAAGGATCAAGCTTCTCATTTATCTGTGGTAGGAGTCTAGTGCATGTAAAGCTTTCCATGATCTTTGCTTCTGAACAAGTGAGAGATATTGGTCTCAAGTCGTTTTCTATTGTCTTTGAAGATTTTAGCATCGATGGAATGTATCCTTCCCTCATTGATTGATTGTAAATGTCCTGGATGATGGGTGCTAGCTCGAGTGCAAACTCCTTCAGAAGCCTATTTGGGATATTGTCAGGTCAAGTTGCCTTTCTAACTTGGAGCGATGATAATGCTTTAAGGACCTCTTTCTTGGTAACAAGGAGACAGTGTGGGACATCGGTAGGTGGGGCTGTGGGAGTAATGGTGGGAAGTGATCAGTAAGCCCTACGAAAAAATCATTAATCTTATTAGCTAATAATTTGGTATTCATATCGTTATTAAGGAATTGGTGATGCCACTCCTGTTGGATATCTTGGCCTGTTAACTTTTTTATTTGCCTCCACCATGATGCTGGATCTGTTTTTTTTCCACTGCAACCACTTTGTTTTGATAATAATTATGTTTTGCTGCTCGAATTTTACGTTGCACCTTATTGTGCCATGATCGATATGCCGTTGAATGCTTTCCTTGTTGGTAAAATGCAGTTTGTCGTTTGCGAATCCACATTTTAATCTCGCTAGTTATCCACGGTCGATCCGTTGCGTTTTTTGTGACAGTTCTATGCGAAAGAAATGTATCAATAGCTTGATTCAATTCTGACATGAACAGCTTGTATTTGTCTTCACAAGTGTTGGCGCTAATAATTGAGGACCAATCATTTTGAATGATCCACCGCCCTAGTGCACGTCATGCGCTATCTCGCATGTCACAGATTTTAATTCTATTGTTCTTTGATTTAGTCACACGGCTAGTAATTGGTTTGGCTAGAATCATATATCCTATCTTTGGTAGCTGCGAAGCAGTGAAAATGTTAGATTTGTTTGTAAGGAACCAATCTAAAGTATCAGAATCTCGAGTTTTAAAGGTAACAAGTTGTTTTAAGGTAGTTAAATTGCGTGATATCTTTTACCTGTTGAGCTGGGATTAAAATCACCAGTTTCACCAGTTATTGTAACAGCAGCATTTGGCTGGTTTGACAAAAAGGTATGAAGGTTTTTATGAATATGTTCTCGTAGATTATGATATTTTCAGGTTCTTTATTGCTCGTTGAATGATATATCACACCTAATATAATTGATGTAATTCCTCTTGGTAGGCTACGCGGACTCATTGAGATCCATGTGGGGATGACACCCCTACACTCCCCCCCCCTATAAGACTTGATCGATTACAGACTGCAGCGGCTGATCCAGGGTAAGGCAGAATAATAACAAGTAAAGACTAGATTTCACGATCATATCTATCGTACGATTTTCTACGATTCACCATCTCTACTCAATCACTCAAATCTGTTTCTCTAGACGAAAACATTCCAGGCACATTCTGAACATTCTGTAATAACGTATAATATAAATATATTATATATATATATATATATATATATATATATATATATATATATATATATATATTATAAATATAAAACGTTTTATGTATAAACGTGCTAGCGCTACAGAAGATAATACGATCAATCACTTGGAATAATGAAACCAAGCGTAAACTGAACTGTGTTGGAATGATATGATTAAAACCTGCTGCGTGTGTGCTTTCATGTGATTTAAATTAAAAATCACTTCCTATCATCTAGAAAAATAGGTAACAGACGTTACGTAACTGACGTTTAGTTTATCAGAATTGTACTAGGAACACATGAAGAGAAGTGTTATCCTGTATTTGAATAAAGACCCGTGTAATTATGTGTAATTATTGTAATATATGTCTGTGTAATTATTTAGTTTCACATTGAAAAGTGTTGAACGAAAGGTAGCATTCGTCACAAGCTGTACTTTGTCAAATCAAAATGGTTCCATCTTTTCCGGATGTTCTCTTGGTTCTTGGTATTTCGTTTTGGGTAAAAGTTGACGGTCATGGGGCCCTCATTTACCAGTCAAAACAACACTGACAATATTACGACGACTTTCTCAAGTAAACAAACAAAGAATATTTTGAGGTTTCTAAGTGAAACTAGTCACAACCTCAACATTCAATACTAGCAATGACAAAGCTCTCTTCTGTAGCCATTACCCGACAGGAAATTAATGCAGATTACCTCACACTGAGCTATGTTCGAAGAACGTAAAGTCAAACCAACGACCTCCTCAAGTTAAACAGACGAGGAAGATCTTAGTTTTTCATTTAAGGAATCTCTCTAGTTCTTCATGACCTCCCTAAATAAAGCGATGAATGTTTGCAAATGAATTGTCTAAGATTTCTCGTAAGGCTTCTGTTGGTGCAAATGTAATGTACATGTTCGTGTGATCAGTAAAAAGACAAAAACAACCTCAATATCCAGTACTGGCAAAGACAAAGCACTCTTATAACAGATAAATCTCCATATTATATCATTACTCTATAATCTAGTAATCATATTTATTATATTCATTTTGAAATCAATGGTGTTTCTTGCAATCCGATTGGTGAAGAGTAGTGTGATTAATCCCAAATCGCACTATTTTTTAGCATTATTCACATCATTTTTAAGCCAATAAGATTGAAGCTCTGCCAATCAGATTTATTTAGTTTTTTGTAACTATCCAATCAAATTACAGAGCGAAGTGCCACGCGAAATTTCTTGACAAATATAGATGAAAATTACTCACATTTTACACCGTTCTTTCAGCCAATAAATCGATTTGAATTTGTTTAATTTTACAAATATAATAATAACAAAGCACTCTTATAAATAAAGCTCCATATTGAATCATTACCCTATTCTAATAATTATATAAATTTATTCATATATAATTAGGCAGGATAAAATAAATACATTCCAGTATAAACCAAGGAGCAACGTTGCAGTGCATTTTGAAAAACTTCGCATCAAATGTGGTATAAAGATTAACTGATTTTCGATTGTCTAGAAGTTAGTTATCCTTTTTCGAATAGACATATATCTGTTGACAGGGGCGCACATTATCAAAAATAATGGGAGGGTGTCTGTGTCCTGGGACCGACTTTTGTATAGCGTTCGTGCTCGTTTAAATTGATAGTTGCAGGCGCGGATACAGCCCGATATCTGGCCATCTCTGAGATCCGACCGCTACATAGCGGGTCCTGGGGTCCATTCTCCCCCGAGAAATTTTTAAAATTCGAAACCCGCGAATGGTATTTCCCATTAATACTACCAAGTTAATACTACGCTCGAGATGTAACCGTTGACCAGTACTAATTTAGTTACTCAACCTTTTGAATTTGAGATGTTTACATACAAGACGCACGATTAACCACAAGAATATTAAAGGTTCAGTCCAATTTATATAAAGACAGATTGATTATCACTGAACTTTCAGACATACAAGCATAGATATTTCGAAGATTCCAACTCTTAGTAAATTGGGCTTTGAGCATTCTCACGAACGTATTGTTATTATCCCTAAATCTGCTGCCCGCGGCATACTTCGAACCAAGATACATTTACTAGTATATCTTCTTCTTCCGATTTAAACGCTCGAAGATTTGAACGGAGCGCCAGTGCGTGTTGTGAAAGTTCGCCCAACGCGCTATGTTCACAAGGGAAGCGACCCTTCTGGGGTAATCTGATCGCATTACCTTAGTTGAGAATAAGATGTTGCAAGCGGAATTGGGTGTTACACCACCCCCACACCCCCCTAATGTGCGCCCCTGCACTTGATATCATCTTGATATCATCTTGATATCATCAACCCAGCCACTTATGTTATGAATAGTACATATGAAGAGTATCATATGACCTTGTCTGAAACTTTGCGCATGACATTTAGTTTATTACAATCGTACTAGAAATATATAAGTACTTCAAGATCAATTTTACATTGTCGAAAGAAATGTTGTCTTTTTTTTTAATAAATGCAAGCGACTGTTTAATTCTTTGTTTTACAGTGAATAACAGTCCAGCTAACTAGTACGTAGTTGAGTCTTTTTTTGTCTTGCCGCTTGCTTTAAGTACCGTGTTTCCGGCAACAAGTATGACGCAAGGACAATAATAATACACATATTTTGCTGACTTGCATCAGACAAGACAAGAGAAGCATTTATTCATTCATTGTAAGAAATGCTTTGTCAACTCAAAATGGTTACATCTTTTCTGTATTGTAATGTCCCCTTCGCTGATATGTAATAACTCACACAAATCTTTAGCTTTTCTACAATCGCTTTAATACAAAATACACAAACGATACAAAACGAAAGAACACACTTCAAACGACAGCCTCGTGATAAGTTGTCACGTGACTTTAATCTAATACAAATAAATCTAATCAAGTATCCCGATTCTACATCCCTTCCTTTCCAGTCAATTTAGTGTTCGAACAACCAATCATAACTTCAACTACACGAACTATCGTGTTCATACTGTTTCGTAATATATTTGTATCACTTTGGTTTGTCCATGATAAAATCATTGAATCGCTCGGGTAATCTAATCTCCCGCTTAAGTCTATTGGTGATAACCGTTTCGCTATCCGGTTGCGGCTGTTGTTGGGACTCGCTTTCCGTAGCTGACTCCACTGGATTATATATGGTTTACAAATGAACTGTCTCTCCTAAAGATCGAGCCATCGTCCGCCTCTACCATCACTTCGTTCCCCTCCTTCGTGACCACCGTATACGGCTCCTTTTCGTAGTTGGCAGCTAACTTCCCTGACGTTTTAGTGTTCCGTAGTAGTACTTGGTCTCCTGGTAGAATAGTGCTATCATTTGCCCTCCTTTTTTCATCTGCATTAGCTTTTTGTACTAGCTTGTTTCGCCAATCGCGATCCCTTATGTTCTCATCAAAGTCGTCTATATCTCCCCTAAGTTCTGGAAGTTTACTTCTCAGTTCACGTTTGAACATAAGGAACGCTGGTGTTTTTCCAGTTGTGACTTGCGGTGTTGTTCTATACGCAAGAAGGAATTGTGGTAACTCCTTTCTCCAATCCTTGCCTTCAACTTGGGCCACTTTTAGTGCCTTGAGAAGAGTGCGATTTTGGCGCTCCACTTCACCGTTAGCTTGTGGCCAAAGTGGTGGTGACGTTCTGTGTTCAATATTCACTTGTTGTAAAAACCTCTTGAACTCCTCACTAACAAACTGTCTCCCGTTGTCTGATTTCAACGAGTAAGGAAAACCAAATCTAGCAAAAATTTCGTTTAGCGCTTTGATAATCTTTTCTGAAGTTGTTGAGTGCATAATGGAAACTTCGTAGTATCGACTATAGTAATCCACGACTACCAGCAAGTATTCTCCGGTTGGCATTGGCCCCATCAAGTCTACTGCGACATCTTGCCATGGGCCTGTAGGCATCTCGGTCCGTTTCATGGGTTCCGGTACATTATACTGGCTGACTACTTGACATCCATGACACGATTTACACACTCGTTCAGCATCTATGTCCATCTTGGGCCACCATACTTTCGTTCTTAATCTGCTTTTCGTCTTTACAATTCCTTGATGGCCTTCATGTGCCGCTTCCAAAACCTTTCTTCGCAACATCTGAGGAATAACGATTCGATTCCCCCGTAAAACAAGTCTACCAATCATGCAGAGCTCATTCTTTACACACGCATTTGCCGACAGTTTACATTTAGTCCAATCTCCCGATTCGATATAGTATCGCACACTTTGTAATTCAGCGTCGATTTCTGACGCTCTCTCTATTTCTTTAGTCGTTAAGGCCACGGGTGTCGCTTGTATGGCAACGAAACGGATGACGTCCTCTTTCTCGCTGCTGTGGTCTTTTGGATTCTTCTGGTTCATTCTAGACAAAGCATCGGCAATGTTCGTCTTTCCAGGCCGGTAAACGACCTTGAAGTTGTGGCACTGAAGTCGTAATACCCATCTTTCGATCCTTGCTGAGGGTTTCGATGTCTTGTTGAAAATACACTCTAGTGGCTTATGGTCAGTTTCCAGTTCGAATTCACGACCATACACATATATATTAAACCGCTCGCAAGCCCACACGAGTGCAAGTGCTTCCTTCTCTGTTTGGGCGTATCGCCGCTCTACGTCCGAGAGGTTCCTGGAGGCATACGACACCGCTCTCCACTGGTCTCCTTGCAGTTGTAGCAACACAGCTCCAATTCCCTCCGGCCCTGCATCCGCGACGATTCTCGTTTTGCAGTCGTTTCTAAAATAAGCCAGGGCTTCAGCCCTAGTCATCATCCATTTCAGCTTCTCAAACGCCTGCTGTTGCTCTGACCCCAAACGAACGACTGTCCCTTTCTTAGTACACGACGCAACGGCTCTGCAATCTGCGCAAAGTCCGGGATAAACTTTGCCGAATACTGTACTAACTGTACGAACGACCTAACTTCCGAAACATTTTGCGGTGGTCTAGCGTTGACTACAGCAGCAACTTTCTCTTCACTTGGTGCCACCCCTTTGGCACTGAGCTTGTGGCCAAAAAAGGTCAAGGCCGGAAGTCTAAACTGACATTTGTCCCCATTTACGGTAAGACCTTTCTCTCGCAGACGTGTTAGTACTTTATAAAGATTCTCATCATGCTCGGATAAATCAGCCCCGTAAACAATAAGATCATCCGCAATATTTGCCACCCCATTGCACCCTGCCAAAACATCTGAGATTATTTTCTGGTACTTCTCTGGAGCTGAAGTAATTCCGAACATCAGTCGACGATATCTATATAACCCCCGGTGTGTCACGAACGTCGTAATGTCCCTTGAATCCTCTGTGAGTTCCACTTGATGAAACCCCCATTTGAGGTCTATCTTACTAAATACCGTTGCTCCATTTAAATCATACAAAACTTCTTCTATGGTCGGAATAGGATGTCTTTCCCTTACAATCGCCTCGTTTGCCCTTCTCATATCGATACAAACTCGAATATCCTTTCCATCTGCTTTTGGAACAACCACTAATGGTGAAACCCACCTTGTAGGTGTTGCTTCTGGCAATTCTTCGATAATACCCATGTCGAGTAACTCGTCTAACTTATCGTCTACTTTGTCCCTTAGACCGAATGGCAGTCTACGCACCGGCTGAGCAACTGGTATAACATCCTCATCGATATGCAGTTTCAGCTTGTAATCCTTAAGTAGTCCGACTCCGGTAAAAATATCAGCAAACTCCTCACGAATATCTGAATCACTTCCCTCTTGTGTGACCGTGTTAACAGTTCTTATTATTTCTTCAGGTCCAACCCTGAGTACTTTCAATTGTTCGGCTGTTTTCTTCCCCAATATAGGCCTTCCGTTCTCTTTAATCACAGTGAAATCGTCTACACATCTTTCACTGTTTGCCTCGCACACAATCTCTGCTGTAAATGTCCCTACAACGTCGATTGGCTCTTTCTGTCCATACGCAAACAGTTTCTTGTCTGATACCCTTGACTCGCACCTAACATGTTTTCTTTTAAGATAGTTCCAGAGTTCACAATCAATTACATTACATGTTGCACCTGAGTCAATTAAAATACTTTCTAGTTTCACTCCTCCAATAATTAGATCCACCTGACCCATATCTTTTTGTCCATGCCCACCAATAACAAAGGCATAGTCATCTCTTGTTGGTGTTTTTCCTTCTTCCTCAGAGACTTTATATGCTCTTTTCTCCTCCTTTTTTTCTTTCTCCTTGTTGTGCTTCTCCCCTGCTTTTTTGCAGCAAGCTGAGAAGTGACCTATGATTCCGCATTTATTGCAGCTCTTGGACTTTGCTGGACAATTTGCGTCTCGAGCAAAGTGCCCAGTTTTATTACAGTTGTAACATCGTCGTACGTTATCCTTGTTGTCGTGCCCAGTCCCCTTGGCTGAGTATCTGCGCTCTTTCTGATCTGTGTTGACCTTTTTCTCTTTTCGTCCGCTCCAACGCGATTTATGACTCACAACGTTTACTGTATTCGAACCTTCCATTGATTTCAACTGCTCTTCTACCGCCTCATATGCCCGCGCAATATCTTGTAAATCCTTGAGTGTTGCATTAACGCGTTCAAGAAACTTCCGTCTAAGCTTTGAGTCGCCACATTTCTCAATTAGTTGGTCTCGAATTGCTTCTTCCACGTTCTGAAATTCGCACGTAGTAGCTTTTTGCCTAAGACGAGAAACAAAATGATCCACTTTCTCGCCGTTCATCTGACTCATTTGACGAAACTGGTGTCTCTCAAACGGTAGATTCACTTTAGGGACGAAATACTCATCCAAGACCTTGACGCAATCCTTAAACTCTTTCTCTTCGTCTTCGTTTACTAACGTAAAATATAGTTCTTGCAACTGCAACCCCCCCGTATGCAGAAGTAATGCCACTTTCTGTTTGTCATTTATTACTCCCTTTGCCGTTAAAAACACATTAAATGACCGCTTCCAGCGCTTCCATCTCACAGCCAAATTCGTTGGGTCTTCCCTGGGGTTAAAGCAAGGAAGCCCTTTGACGTCGCTTGTCAATAAACTTGCTTGAGCGCCTGCCGGATTGCCGTTTTGTCCTGCGCCATCTTCGTCCGCGACAGACATTTCAAATATTTTCGCTAAATACTACACTCCCGATTGGTAATCTTGCCAAATTCACGGCTATAATGTTAGACGAACTTCCATCCTCGTCGCCAATGTAATGTCCCCTTCGCTGATATGTAATAACTCACACAAATCTTTAGCTTTTCTACAATCGCTTTAATACAAAATACACAAACGATACAAAACGAAAGAACACACTTCAAACGACAGCCTCGTGATAAGTTGTCACGTGACTTTAATCTAATACAAATAAATCTAATCAAGTATCCCGATTCTACATGTATGTTCTCTTGGTTCTTGGTATTTCGTTTTGGGTAACAGCTGACGGTCACGAAGGACGCACATTTACCAGTCAAAATCACACTTACAATATTACGACGAGGTCCTCAAGTGAAACAGACAAGGAGTGTATTTTGATCGTCAACGAAACAGATTTGTGGCTTCTACAGGAACTAGGTCGAAATAAGGCTGTTCATATGATAGAACTTGATCTTCAATTCACCTCTAAAGAGAACAATGCCACAATTAAGAAGTGGAGTTGGCTGTGGACAGACAATATTGGTCATAATATCTTGGCATTTCTCAAAATTAAAGTCACCGTGGATAGTGTCCACAATTGGCCTACTTGGACTCTCGACGTTGGGGGAAGAACAACTCGATTGCGCGTAAGCGTTAATCCTGCCGGATGTACGACTTCTAAAAAATCACCAGAAGATTTTATTGCTAGTGCTCTTTTGAGGCAACTGTCTATGATCCAGGAGAAAGAAATTTGTTTTAACAAAAACGCGAGCCAATCCACGCAAAAGAGATGCTGCAAGTGTTTTAACAATAATCCTCATTGTTATGTAAGACAAGCTAAATCTGAATATCGATCCTACTGGTGCTTAAATAGGGTTTCCATGTTTTTGTTCCTCTGACATTTTATATTACTGCGATGTTGTTGTCAGGAAAAAAGGAAGAAAATAAGGTTGATGGTTATTACAGGTTAACGGGAAAGTCCGATGTCATTACTATCCATTTTGCGTCTGTTGTTTTGGGATGGTTTTGGAAGAGTGAGGTTTTTCGTACGGAGGAGTTTGTGCTTGGTAATGGTCTTCCTGTTGTCTGGGGCAGTGATTTTTTTCGATTACGCTGACTTCACGCATGTCGTGGTTTTTGCTCTCTCCGCTCTGACTATTCCTTTTACAAGCTTATACAATCATAAAGAGAGTACGTCCTGTGGAAATTGACTTATTAACTTTATTGAATTCATCTTGTATTGTGAAAGCATTTCGTTATTTCGATTATGATATAGATATCTATTTTTTCGTGGTATATCGTTGAACATAGTTGACAATGACTCCGGCACAGGAGAAAGTGAGATGTTGGATGAAAAAGATAAAATTGTGTGCGTGGTATCAAAGGAACTCTATGATAATATTAGAGAACGCCTCTTACTCTACCATGTGAGTCTTTTTTACTTTGCTTTAAAAGTTTTCTTCACTTTTCTTTTCTCTTATCTTATTCTCACTCTTGTTCGAGTTCTTCAATCCAGCGATGTTTCCCCAAACAATCCAGTTACTCACAACGGTCAGCGTGAGTGCTTTTCCTTACATTATGAATATTGTTGGGGCGAAAAAAGGAGAAGATCAGAATGATGCGTGGAAACAACAGTTGAGACAACGAGTGGAACCAATAGTGGACAAACTGACGGCTGCAAAACCTCATTTTTGTGGTTTTTCTAATGTGTGAAAACTTTTTTTCATTTGTCGACTAATTTTAGTCTCCACGCTATTTTGGTTGCCCTATCAGTATTTGAGCGCCAGTGTGTGGAATCCCGTTTACCAGACTTATTTAGTCGTCGATAATTCTTATTTGTCCATCACAAATAATTGTCGACAACTAAATCTCTAGTCTGTGGAGGCCCTTAGTTTATTGAATTGCTTTAAGAACAGGTCTGGTCCAGTGTTCCCATGGCCAAATCCGCACATTTTGAATTGATAAAAGTCTTACGTTTCACAAATATGCTCAAATTAACAGGATTTCGAATTTTGCCTAAGTATTTACTGGATCTGACCAGTCGAACAGTGTTATTGCTCAGCAAACTATGAGTTGATTATTTGATCAATATTTCCAGTTCTTTTCGTATGTTCAGATCACTTGTAAATCATGTTCACATAATATTATTCTTGAAATTTCACTTTTATATGTAATGTTTAAAATTGATTTTCAAAGCTTGGCTTTACATCATGAGTACAAATGCTAAAACATTAATTAGCCTTGTCAAAGCGATGGGATTATATAATAAGGGGAATTTTAATCTTGGAAACATAGAAACTTAATAGAAACTTCTAACTATAATATCAGTTTGTAATATTCGAACATAACCAGAAAGATAACTTCTTTAGCTATATTAATTTGGTTTGTGTTTCATATATAAAATGAATAAAAATATATTAACTAAGTAACTGCATCCCTAGACAAGCGGTATGTTCAGGAAGTTCGTCAGACTCCAGTTTTCAATAACGAGCTCAGAGGTGACGCTTCATTATTTTAAAATGTTTCTAGATTTCAACAGTATGGTTGAGGAGTTTGACGATGCAGACTTCTAGTTTCGAATTGCCATGTTTTGCTACGCAAATGTTGCTCCATGTTTTACGTGTAATTTTATACGACAATTACTAGTGCATTTTTGTCTTTTGTAAGATGTGAACTTGGTTTGTCTGGCAGACTTTGTACAAAGAAAACCTGCACATTTTTAAACTTTATAGTAAAAGCTTTATAGCTCAAAGAATACACATAATATGATATTAGTAGTTATTAGAGTAGTTATTGATCGCGTACAGACTGCAGAGGCTGATCCAGGGTAAGGCAGAATAATAGTAAGTAAAGACTAGATTTCACTGTCATATCTATCCTACAATGCTCTACGATTCACCATCTCTACTCAATCAATCAAATCTGTTTGTTCACAACAAAACATTCTAGGCACATTTTGTGCATTTTGAATGAATGGAATATAATATATAATGTGCGTTTTTGGTTTTTGGCTTTGGTGCTGTATAATACGTGAAACGTTATATGTTTATATAACGACGACGATAACACGATAAATCAAGCGTAAACTAAGCTGTATTAGAATGATAGATATGATTATAACCTGCTGTGTGGGCTTTCATGAGGCTTAAATTGAAAATCACTTGATACCATTTAGAAACAAAAGGAAACACCTGGCGTTTAGTTTAATTACGAAATGCTTGCAAATATGTTTTAGGCATTAGGCATCTGGAGGACAAATTAACGTAGCATAAATTTTGCAAAAACGTAAATTTTATGCAAAACACAGAAATATTTACTATTGTGTGAAACTTTGCCTTGTTAATTGCTTTTGACCGCTATATAAACCTTCACCGCTCGCATAACGATTATTTTCAGTGAAGCAAGGAAACATCTGGAGGACAACTTTTAATGATTATGACGTCAGTGAAATGGGTCTATATATTTCTAGGCACGCACTACTTTTATGCATACATATACCGTTTGAAAGCGTGCATTATTCTCTACTAAATACAAAAGTATTCAAAGGAATTCTATGGAATCGGGGCTGAGAAAATTAGGAAATTGTTCTTGGCAGCGTGAAATACAAAATTAGCGATAAATATGATGGCAAAAATGTTTTTAGGCATATGTTAGGTTGATTTCGTATGTTTTGTTAAAACATTTTAAAGTTTATACTCCAAATGATCGATTTAGGCCTGCTGCTTTAATATTTGCATAGCGGGATAAATCCGACAGGCTGCCTACGCTACTGAATCATCCCCTAAACAGGATCCTCGATTTAGGAATACTTTTAGATTTAATAAAGTTAGGAAATTCGCAACGGGCAAAATAGCAAACAACGGGCGATTTTAAAGCGATTGATAATAATCACTATCCGGTGGATAGCTCTATCCGGCTTTCATACAACCGGCCCCTGAATAAATAAATAAATTTCAGGGCTCTCACTTTTGGGGGAAATTTCCCAAAAACGGGGAGATTGGTAGATTTTTGGGGAGCGATCTGGGAATTTTGTCAAATGTTGCTGAAACTCGTACTTCAGTTGTTTTTGCCTGGTTTTATTTTAAAATAATATATGATTATTTTGGTCACATGTGGCAAGCAGCATTGTTTTATTCACGACTAGCGAGTATTTTACAATTTGAACAAAAGGTATTAATAAACAACTTACGCAATTACACAGTAAAGCATGTTTTAAATATTTTGACGCCATATACTTTTCAATATTTCACTGTAGTAGCAATATAACTGCCAATATAACTGCCAAAGTGTTTTTTTTTGTAAATAATTGAAAAGTCGTAAATAACGCAATAGCTATATTTTGTGTTATAATAAATTTTAAAAGATTTTGTGTATTGCCACGGTAGTTATTGATCTAGCTTTTTTAGTTCCTTTTGTATTCTTTTGATCTTTTTAATTTTAAAACGTCGTCCACTCTCGGTGACCATTAATATTGGTAAGCATGATATCCTTTGAAGAATGATTCGATTGGATTTTATACCTTATTGTATCACTTATAATAAACGTAATCCGACACCAACTCCGGTTAACTCGAACCCCCAGTGATTCGAACAATTTTTCTTTCTCTTTGGGAGTTTGAGTTAGCGAGGGACTACTGTACGTTGCAAGGCACTAGATAGGATCGACTGAAACCACGAAGAGCCCACAATAAGTTAATATTTCATATATGCATTCAGCGGTAATTTTCACACAACCTCATTTCCGAATTCGAATTTCATTTCCGGCATGCGTTTGGAATTTTGCTCGTGTGAGTCGTGTTGCCAAATTAATTAAAAGGAGTAAAGACCCAACAAGGCCAGCCTCGTTCCCAGGCTATGGGAAGTTTTCGCAGATACAGCACTTGAGCGCGAGGCTGCAAAAAGGCAACAAGGACCAAATGAGGAAAACAAAAAGTCTTAAAGAACCATCATAAATTATTAATTAGGTAAGTTTTCTGAACTTCCCTACCTTTTATATAAATACACATATTAAAAAGTATAAATACACACAAATGATTATTAGGCTATTCAATTTATTTCAATATAATTAAATATGAAAGTGCCAATTCCCTCCATTAGTTAACGACGTTTTCGGTATACAACCGGTCCCAGTTTAATAAAAAGTGACTGGCGTTAATCGTAGTTAAAACGTTGTTAAAGTTAACTATCCTCAAGGCCATCGTTAACTTTCCA